GCCGGCCCAACTCAGGTCCGGCGCCCCGCCCCGGCCGCCCCCGCTGCCCTCTCGCTCGCGGACACGAAGTGACAGGCCACTGCATCTCTCCTGACCCGGCCGGGCCGGGCCAGCGCTCGCCGCCGCCGCGCGCCCGAGCCCACTCGCTCCCCGAAGTCCGGTTCTCTTTCCAGCGCTCGGCCCCGAGCTTTTTCCAGGTTCTGCTCACTGGGGGCTCGGGCAGGCATTGAGGTTCTCACCCCTGCCACTTGGGGTGAGGCGAGGCTAGCTCTTCATCCCTCCTCCTGGCCTCGGTGTCCCCTCTTTCCACTCTGGTCCTCCTGTCCCCTCTAGACTCTAAGGAGTCCCTATTGCTTCGCCCGGGTGAGGCCTGTTCCGGCTGGTGGAGGACACGGGGGCTTTGAAGCTTGAGGGCGAGCTCGGAGCGGTGGAACCCCGCGGGGTTGGCGCGGTGCCAGGTGCTCCGGGGTTCACCTGCAGTTTAATAAGCGGGAGGTGAGCTGGGGGGACGGGTGTGGGGAGAGGTGAGGTGTGGATGCGGGAGACTTGCCACGGCTAGCCGGCGCGGGGCGGCGCCCAGCGCTGGGAGGGGACGGGACAGTGGCTCCTGGGCTCCCGCGGGGAGGCTGGCCTCCTTCCTTTGGCCTCGGAACACCGTCCTACCTCTGTGGTTTCTGCCCCCCGCCCCCCACATTGCAACACCTCATTTCTACCTCTCATTCCTTGGAGGGGACTCTGGGCTTCTGGAAAGAAATTTCCACTCCTTCCACCTCCCACCTCCAGGGGCCACCATTGCCGTGTCTCCCTCACTCCACACTTGTGGAATCATTTCTTTGGTCCATCTTGGCCCATCACCTCAAGGACTAGCTAAATTTGAATCCTGTGGGGCCCGTCTTGGTGGTAACCAGCCCCTGGACTGGATCCTTCCCCCTGTCTCCCTTATTTTCAAGCCACAGATTGTCCATCATGGGGTCAGGTGACCCCAGTTTCCCCCACGTGGACTATCAGGATGCCCACCCCTCTTCTGACCCAAGCTGCCAGTGGGGTTCTCTTAAAGGTGCACTCTGCCATGTTTAAAATTCAGAGACTGCTAGAAGGAGGTGGTCCCCCAGGTCTTCCACCTGAATGCTGTTACTGTCATCTAATTGTCCTGACACCTTCCCTGAGATGGGCTGGGCTGAAGGGATGGAGTTCTGATGTAAGAGGGAGGGGGAAGGGTTCTTGAGCACCTAGAGTGGGTTCTTGGGAAGCAGGACATACAATAGGGCTTTACCCAACCAAGGAGAGGGATGTGAGGGTGCTGGACCCTGGGAGTTGGGGCACAGAGAGAGGGGACTCCAGCGGGGCTAGAAAGAGTCCTAAATAATCTGTGAGAGGACCCCCAGCCCCGGCGCAGCTATGACCTAAGTGCCGAGGGCAGTGGTATCCCCAGCTTTCTGTTCTGAGGATCCACAGGGTTGGTGCCTAGATGGGTGAGATGCTGGACAAACATCAGCTACAGGGGAGCTCTTCATTGTGGGGACTAGAGAACCCCTCCATCTCTTACTCAGGATGTGGGGACCAGAGGGACATTTGAGGAAGGGGCTACTTTGGGCTGGGCTTGGGCACTGGAGTGAGAGGGGATGAGAGGACAGGGAGAGGCTTGGTGGAGGGGAGTGAGTAGCTTCACACAGCGGGTACTGGAGCACTCATGAAGTTTGGGTACTGCCCTCTCTAAGGCCCAGGCCCATTCAGAATGGATGGAAAGAGGGGGCTTGCGGCTTTGCAGTAAGCCGGGCTCCCAGCCCAGGGGAACCCAGCAATTTGAGAGTCCATCCTCTTCTCTCCAAGGCTCTGGCTCTTTCATCTCCCACCTCCCTTTTACATTTATCTTCGGGGAGTCTTTGTTTTATGCCTAGGTCTCCAGGCTTGGGGTATGTGGTGGTACTCAGATGGGGAGACTGAGGCACAGGCAATTGTATCCCAGGATTACTTAAGGTCCTATTATTCTAGTGGCACCCAATAAATTAGCCAAAACATATTAAGTACTTCCTGTGTGCTTGGCACTGTTCTAAAGCACTTTATCTGTACTGTAGTATCCTCAAACAATCCCCACGCAGTAGGTCCTATCATTATCTTCATTTCCAAAGAAGCTAAGAGAGGTTGGGTAACTTGCCATTAGTCACACAGCTTGTATGTGAGCTGTAGAGCCAGGACTCAAATGCAGGCCAGCTGTCTTTAGAGATTGCCCTCAACCCCCTGCATACTGCCTCCCAAGCTACAAGGCCACCACGATCTCCTACCGTGTGCCCAGAGGTGAACTGGTGCAATGGAGGAGTAATCCAAGAAATGGAACTGATATGCGCACGCATGCGCACACAACACACACACAAACACCTACCCGTGTTTGTGCAAACATGTGGCTACATTCAGTGTCACCCCTAAGTGTTCCCACGTGCACAGAACCCTCTCTCTCCCCAGCCCAGGCACATGAGCATGCACAGATTATCTGTGCACAGATTATTTGCACAGAGGGAATGGAGACCAGACCTCTCCCCCCTCCTCCCTCTTTGACTTGAATGGGCAGGGCTCAAGCTTCTCTAATCCCTCCTAGTTCCCACTGGCTCCTGAATCCTCTCTTCCACACTTCCCTGCCCTCCAAACCTCCTCCCCCAGCCCCTTCCTGGCCGTTGGCTTCTTCCTGTAGCAGCAGCTGACTCCACTTAGATGCTGGCAGTCCCTGTCCCAGATCAAAGGCAGGGCGGCTAATTGTGTGTCTTAACGAGCCCCCCACCCCCAGTGCTCCGGGCAGCCCAGCTGGCCAAGGCCCCTCCCCTCTCCCTCTCCAGCTGGCCAGATGGCACAGTGCCTGCATCTGCCCCAGACAGTCGGGGCCAGGACCGAAACTGGGGCCCTGAATAGGAGCTGGGGGCAGACCCAATGGGCTGGACTTCTCTGAGGCCTGAATGCTTGGATCAGAGGATGACCACACAAGCCCTGCCCAGTCACTCCTTCAGTGGCTGTGACAGCTGCCAGAGGCCATTGGGATGGTGTCTTTGGCTGCCTGGGGTAGGTAGGGGTGTTCTCTGTAGGCTGTGGGCTTCCTCCAGATTCCTCTAGGCCTGCCCTTGAATGTAACAGAGCCTGGAAAATGGTGTTTGGGTTGGCCCAGCACATTCCCCCTGGACCAGCATCTTGCTGTTTCCTGGTGCCATGCATAGACAGGGCCATAGGACTGGGAAATGGGCTACCTGGATTTCTTACTCAGCAGCTTGTCTTCCCCAGAGCCAATGTCCTTCAGCAGAAGGTGGCCAGGCCTGCTGGGAGAGCTGGGGCTGTGTCCAGTTCCATAACTCCTGCGACCTCGGGCATCTCTCCTGGTTGGCTCTCTGGGATCAGTGAGGCCTCCAAGTCCTCCCAGTCTTTGAAACTGATGTAGAAGGACCCAATTTTGTTTTGTTTTGTTTTGTTTTTCTGAATCTCTGGCCTCTACCAAGCCATCAGCCTCCAGATGGGTTCTGGGCTTCCCCCACAGTTGTCTATGGCACAGGTGGATTCTTCTCCTATTGTGGGAGCTGTTGTTACCCTTAGTTTCTCCCACTGCTTGAACTCTCTCAGGTTCAGAGACTGGTCAGTGACTGGTACCAGAACCTGCCCCTCGCCGGTCCTTTCTCAGATGCAGAATAAGGAAGAAGCAACTTGCAGGTCTCAGAGCCCGACCCTCCTCTGCAAGTAGGCCTCCCCCTGCCCCAGGCCCAGAGGATGGCTCAGGCTTGGGAACACCAAGGAGGAAAGCAGTGTAGACAAGTCCTGGACTCCTGAGAGTGGCTCATCAGGGAGTCTTTGCACCCCTAAGCATCTCAGGAAGGCATCTACCTTAGCTAACCCGTTCCTTCTCAGTGTTCAACACCACTGTATGCTTAACCCTGAGCAGGCAGTGGGCTCACCTCCAGCATCCTTCAAACAACCTCTTCAGCTGACCTCGACCGACCACAAGCAGGTGGCTGGGCTATGCCCTTTTCTGAGGAGACTGTCTGGGATGTCCAGACAGGCAAAGGGGAAATTCTGCTGCCTCTTTTGTTTGCCTCTCCCATCTGGCCATCAGATAGTGTTCTTTGATGGGCCTAAGGGGGTGGCTGCAGGCAGGAAATCTTGGGGCTGGAAACTTTAGGACACCTTCTCCTCCTACTTACCCTTCTGCCCATTAACATCTCCTGGGGCCCTGAATTCCATCACTGGTAATTTTTTTTAGGTTAAAATTTGCCTTCTTCCTGCAGGCTTATCTTAAAATTGCAGATATCACATGAGAGGTAGTAGCTTAAGTCCCTGATGGTTAAAAAAAAAAATTAATGTTTCCTAGATACTTTCTGTCCAACAGGAGAGATGTAGTCACACTTCTGAGCTTGCTAAGGGTGAAGCAAGGGAAAGGAGTTCAAGACGGAGGGCTGTGGGAGAGACCTCCCCCATTCCATCGTGTGCAGAACTTCCGGTGTGATTTCTGCCCCTCTTTGAATCTATGCCCTTGTACCAGACTTTCCCCCAACACTGGGCCTCTACTTCCTCTCAGTATGGTGAGAAGGTTGGGCAGGGAGGGCAGAGGGATGGGATGTGGAGGCTCCTCAAAGGCTGTTTCCTGCGTCTCTCTGTGCAGGTTTCCGAGAGAGTGCCTACGCCTACGCCATCTCGGCAGCTGGCGTGGTACACGCAGTATCCAACGCCTGCGCCCTGGGCAAGCTGAGGGCATGTGGCTGCGACGCGTCCCGGCGCGGGGACGAGGAGGCCTTCCGTCGGAAGTTGCACCGCCTGCAGCTGGAAGCGCTGCAGCGCGGTAAGGGCCTGAGCCACGGAGTTCCCGAGCACCCTGCCCTGCCTCCTGCCAGCCCAGGCCTGCAGGACTCCTGGGAGTGGGGCGGCTGCAGCCCCGACGTGGGTTTCGGAGAGCGCTTCTCTAAAGACTTTCTGGACTCCCGGGAGCCTCACAGAGACATCCATGCACGCATGAGGCTCCACAACAACCGAGTGGGGAGGCAGGTGAGAACCCCATCCCTCTGGGCCTGCTCCAGACCCCTCTGCCTAGGGCCCCTCCCCTACCCCAGGCTTATGTCTCCTCTGGGGACCACACCACTCTCCCTAATTCAGCAACTTTCTCATTGCCCCCTCCTAATTCAGTCATCAGATGTGTTTTGGATAACTACTGTGTGCCAGGCTCTGGACTAGGCCTGGGAATATGGGGATAAAACAACCCCTGCCCTGGGATAGCTCCCCTTCCACTGAGCAGCCTGCTTCTCCCATCTCCTGCTGTGAGTAGTGGGGAGAGCTCTGGGCTGCAGTCAGGACCTCAGAGTCTAGGCCCGGCTTTGTAAGTCTGTCTCTCCCCCTGTAAAATGAGAAGGTTGAACTGCATCATCCATAAGGCTCCCCAGCACAAATGTTCCATGATTCGGTGCTTTCCTATGCTGGGACCCCCCTCCTCTCCCAGGCTTTCTGTGCAGAATGAGGGATTCCTGCAAAGGGAGATCCCTAGGGGCCACTGTGGTACTGTGTTATGTTGTCGTCCTCCTTTCTCTCCCCCACCCCCCAGTGTTCATACTACCTGAAAGGTCATTTATTTAAGAGAGAGAGAGAAGAAGAGAAGGAAGGAAGGGAGGGAGGAGGGAGGGAGGAAAGAAAGAAAGGGGAAGTAATTATATCCTGCATTTAATTTATTGAGCGCTTACTCTGTGTCAGGCACTGCCTGGAGCATTTCACTACATCCTATTTCACCCTTACACCTAACCATGAGGGTTCTATTATTAGCCTCATGTTCAGATATGGAAAGTGAGGCACAGATAGACTAAGAAGCTTGACTAAGGTGATGCAACAAGTGAGAAAGTGGCAGAGGCAGGATTCATCCCCAGGCAGTTGAGCCCTGAGCCCTTTTGTTCTATAGTGTAGTCTACACTAAGTTGCATCTCTGGCCCTCACGGTGGCTCAGCACCCTCTTTTCCTGGCTATTCCACCCCCGTCCCTTCTCTTGGCCCTGCCCAGCCTGCTCAGGCCTTGTTTCTGGCTTCCGCTCACTCTAGCTGGCACTTTCTCCATCTCACTCCCCTTTCTCCTGGCTTCTCAGCCCAGGCCAGTTCACCTTCTTCCACAAGGACTGGAGCTGATTCAGCTCTTCTGTCATGACCGAGAGGTGATGTAAACTGAGGCATACCCACCCTCAGGTCACGTCCAGCTCCCACCCAGTCCTGTCCAGTCCGTGCAGCTCTTTTCCCAAGCTTTGATACTATCCTAGCCCATACCAACAGTGCCTCCTCCTCCTTGTTAAACTGGTTAATTAATGGCTGCTGCCTGTGGGAAGCAGATGTTCTGGAGCTGTTGGCCAGGGGAGGCATTGGGCTGCTTTCCACGTGGTGCTGACACCACAGGCTGCACATACAAGCTGCAGAGCCCTTTAAGACTTGGAGGAACGGGGTCCCTCTCTTATGGCCCTACTGCCCACGTTTGGGGGACCCAGATCATTATTTGGAGTGGGGGGGCAGTGGGGGGAAGAGGATGTGGCCAATTTCCTCTGGGGTTTCTGGTGAGGATAATGTGAAGGCGCTTTTTGGGAGGAGGCTCAGGAGAGCAGTCTGAGAGCTGGGCAGGGGCTGGGTAGGTTGTATTCCTGTAACTAGCTCCTTTGGAGGCCTGGGAAACTCTCTCCACTTTCATTGCCCTGGAGGTCTGGCTCTTTGGGTTCCCTTTGGTTCTGTGTTCAGGTAGGGCCTTTGGTCCCTGTTGGTGCTCACTGTTTCCTAGGAGGAATGGTGGCACTCAGCACTGGGCAGAATAAATGCCAGCTAGGAGAATGGGCGAATGGGCGAATGGGCGAATGGGAGGGGGTGGGGGGGAGGGGGAGGAGGGGGCGACTCCCCAGCCCCTGGCCCCTCTCCTTAGGCTCCCTGAAAAGTGCTGCAGGGCCCAGAGGAGTTAAGGTGCTTTTTCAGACTCCCCACAGCCTCCGCTCACTGCCTGGAGTGAGGCCAGAGGCTTTGGGGCTGGGATGTAGTGGAGCCAGCACACCCCTGCTCCTGGTCCTGAGGGTTGGAAGGAGAGGGAATTTCCCTGAGGATCTGGGATCCCACCTCAGGAAGCAAGAGCCTAGAGCCCCAAGGGCCCCCCCTGCAGCTGCTGGGAAAGGCGGGGGTGGGGGGAGAGGAGGGGAAGCAGGAAGGAGGGAATTCCCCCAGGGTCTGGCCGGGTGGGAGGTGGATGCGAGAGCAGCAGAAAGGTAGGCAGAACTCTTCTCGTGGCCGCCTGGTTTAGGAGCTGTGCCACCCACCCACCCACTTGGGGCCTCAGCTTTTTTGCCTCCGTTCAATGGGGGTTGGTTTCCAGAGCCTCTGAGAGTCTCGAGGGCCGGTGTCTGCGACGGGAGGAGGCCAGTGGGGCTGGCCTCGGGCGTCACCCCTCCCCGTGCCTCCCTCTGCAGGCGGTGATGGAGAATATGCGGCGGAAGTGCAAGTGCCACGGCACGTCAGGCAGCTGCCAGCTCAAGACGTGCTGGCAGGTGACGCCGGAGTTCCGCGCTGTAGGGGCACTGCTACGTAGCCGCTTCCACCGCGCCACGCTCATCCGGCCGCACAACCGCAACGGCGGCCAGCTGGAGCCGGGCCCCGCGGGGCCACCCTCGCCAGCCCCGGACATTCCGGGGCCTCGGCGCCGCGCCGGCACCGCCGACCTGGTCTACTTCGAGAAGTCGCCCGACTTCTGCGAGCGCGAACCGCGCCTGGACTCGGCGGGCACCGTGGGCCGCCTGTGCAACAAGAGCAGCGCGGGCCCTGACGGCTGTGGCAGCATGTGCTGCGGCCGCGGCCACAACATCCTACGCCAGACGCGCAGCGAGCGCTGTCACTGCCGCTTCCACTGGTGCTGCTTCGTGGTCTGCGAAGAGTGCCGCATCACCGAGTGGGTCAGCGTGTGCAAGTGAGCGGACGGCTCGCCTCTCTGCGCCTGGTCCTCTGCGGCTTGCGATGTTGGCCGGGCAGCGTCGCCTTGGTTCCTGGGAGTGGAGGATGGACCACAAAATCTTACAGGAACCTCCCAGCTCTGAGGTCGTCAAGACTGCAATCACGGGACAGTTCAGGCCCGCTCAGACCCCCTGCTCACTTCTGTGGCCTCCAGGACCGGTTTGCCTCCCGGGTCTCTGACCCAAGCTCAGACAGTTCCGTCAGGCTGGCGGTTGCCCTACACTCTAGGGCAGTGTCAGCCAGGCATCCTCTGGGCCTGCCTCCTTTTATCTCTTCACCCCTACCCCTGGAGGGGGAGGGAATGATTGGAAGCTGATGGGGAGGGGGAGGAGGATTAAAAAGAAGAAATGGACATCACTGAGCTGAAGTGACTCTGCGGAGGCCTCAGACACCTTCCCCCACTGGCCTCTGTCCCTCATCATTCATTTAACAAATATTTATTTTTGCACTCTTTGTGGCCTGGCACTCTGTGGGGGACGAGAGGTGCTGGGGATACAGATGTGAATACGAGATACAAGACCTGCTCTCTTGGAGTTTACATTCGGGCTGGGGAAGATGAACGGTAAACAAGAAAACACACAAACAAGGTCATTTCAGACAATGCTATGTGCTGTGAAGAAAATAAAGCAAAGTGCTGGATGTAGAGTGATTTGTGGGGAGTGGGGCCCCTCTAGATAAAGCTACTGGTTGGGGAAGACCTCATGCTGAGACTGCATGAGGAGGAGAGCCATGCACAAATCGAGGGTAAAAGGGCTTTTCAGGCAGAGGCCATGTGAATGCAAAAGCTCTGAGGACAGAAAGATCTCAGGAGGAGCAGCAAAGACGCCAGTGTGATTGGAGTGAAGAAATCAAGGGACAGATTAACAGCAGAGGAGCTGCTGGAGGGGGGTGGGGGATGGGGAATGGTCACATTATGCATCCTTCCAGGCCAAGGTAAGGGATTTTATGTAAGAGGAATGGGAACCTTCAGAGGGGCTTAGGCAGGCAAATGTCATGGTCTGATTCCCACACTGCTTGCTGTCTGGGGAACTGAAAGGCAGGGGACAAGTTGACAGCAGGCCACCAGTTAGGAGACTACAGCCATCTTCCAAACCAGAGATGAGGCCTGGGCTAGATGGAGGCAGTGGGGAAGTTGGCAAGGGGCTGGATCAGGAGCCCTGGATGCCAGAGCTCTAGCTGTCCACCTTGTGCCTGAGCCCTCTGCCACAAGCCAGGACGAGTGTCGGCCAGTAGCACCCGTCGGCAGAGACAGGAGGCACTCTGAGAGGAGTAATCCTGGGCAAGACCCAGCTCAACCCAGCCAGCCCAGCGCCCCAGGGAGCAGGTGGGGCTAGGAGGTGCGGCCTGGAGAAGGAGAAGGGTGGCAGGGGAGGCGGGGTATGTAAGTCTGGGGGTGGGGGGATATCCTTCCTGGGTCTATTGTGCCCCCAGATCCCCAGCTCAGGATGTCCCTTGGCAGGTCAGCCAGCCCCCCTTCCATACCCCCATAAGAACGCTGCTAAGCTGGCAGCCTGGGTCCAGATCTGATGTTTTTCTGGAACAGACCCTCAAGGAGGAGGCAGTGGAGAGGGAGGTGGGGGTCAAGTTCTCAGGGAAAGAACACTTCACCAACTTCATCCAGGCCTCCTGCTGCTCACAGTGGAGAGTACTGCTGCCTGCCTCAGTTCAGCCCCGAGTGGCACCCTTCTCGATGAACCAACCAAGGATGAAGTCTTGTTCCTTTTCCCAGTTGCCAGCCTACCTGCATCCCCATACTTCCCTGGCCCTGACCCATATCACCCTACCCCTGGGTAGGGGTGAGAAGGTAAGGAGGCTCTCATGGTGATGCCCACCTGCAGGCCCACCACCTGCGAGATTTGCTCTCACGCGCTTGCCCTCAGCTCCCTTCCCTCGAACTCCTGCATCCCAGCAGCTCTCAGACATGACTAAGGCAGCAGGACATTTCACATGCTCAGTTCTGCTGCCTCTGTAGAGGACAGGGTTTCTCTCCCTATCCCCCTAAAGACAGTACCACAGGCAGGCGGGTGAGAGTCCCCCAGGAGGAGGGGTGGGCAGGAGCAGCCAGACACACCTGCTTCATTCCTTTCCTCTTGTTCACCCAGGAGAAAGCTTTGGGGGCTGGGTTCGCTGCCTCCTCCCTCCCTCCCATTCAGGGTAGGAGGGAAGGGAGGGGCAATGAAGGTCTGGGGGGGTACTCCCACCCCCTGCCCAGTCCCCAGCAGTGTCCACTACAGCGTTAGCTGTGGCTTCAGCCTCCTCTGCCTTCCAGGCTTTAAGAGGACAGAGTTGGGGGAGGAGAGACTGAAGATGAGAGACACAGGATGAGGGTTGGGATAATGAGGTAGGAGCTGTAACACTGCAGAGCGTGCTGCCTCTAGAGGGAGGGGTGGGCCGTGGGGTGGGACAGGGGACTGGACACCAGGCTGTGGGGGGACATATCCCAGTCAAGTCAAATCATGGTGATCTGATACATGCTAGGTTTACCTGTAAAGGGAGAGAGGAAAAGTTGGAGAAGGAAAAAATAGGGTGTTGCCCACCCCCATCCTTTTTGTGGGCCTGAAGCTGACTAGAGTCTGGACCAAAGCTGAACCCCACATTTGAAAAGGGGTGTATGGGATTTGGTTGACCCTAAAGGGAGATATGGAGGTGATAAGGGGTGGGAGAATGGGGCCCAAGAGGCACTGGGTTTATGCACTCTGGCTACGAGTGAGGCAGAAATCAATGTGCTGGTTGGAAATAGGGGAAATGGGCTGAAATAAAGTGGGACGGTGGAAGTAAATAGGAGGAAGAACTTGCCAAGAGCTAGGAGAGGACCAAGGTTCAGATCTGGAAATAAGAAGAGAGGGTGGACCAGACTTCACTCAGAGCGGGAGGAAGCCATCCCCTCCCCCAGCACCTTTCACCTTGATGGACATTGGGCCAACTCCTTGCAGGAGGAAAAAAATAGCGTGGAGCCTGGATGGTCCCAAAGGGAAGAAGGGAGGGAAGTAAGAGAGAATGAGGTGGTGGATAGATCAGCAGGCAGTGGTGGGTTAAGGGTCAGGGAGAGGCAGCCAGACTGGGGTGGGGATCAGAACCCAGGCATCCTGCTTTTTTGTCACCCAAGGTCCCAGGGTCAGAAAGAAGAGGAAGGGAGAGGCAAAGGTAGAGGCCTCGGCAGCTGTAGGAGGGCCAGGTGGGTGAGAAACGAGGTCAGGGGCATCCCGGCCCTCGCTCGCCTTCCTCCGAATTAATGCGCCCCCAGCTAGCCCCCGGCAGGGGGCCTTCCACGTTGGAGCTTGGCCAGGCCCTAGTCGCGGCCTCCCTCCAGCCCTCCCACCCCCCCTTCTCATGTGGTTGCCGGCAGCTGCCTGCGGTCGCCCCAACTCCTGCGCTCAAGGCACGGGGACTTTCCAACAGGGGAAAAAATGACTTAATGAGAGTGGGAGCGGGGGGCGGGAGGGACAGGTCCCTGTAATCACCGCTCTGCTGTGGGGCCTGCGCGCCTCCGGGCCCTTCCCTGGCTTCCTGCTGCCAGCGCCCCCCTCGGGCTCTGCGGGGGGAGGGGGACGGGCTGGCACAGGGGATCCCTTTTCAAGTTCCAGGCTCTTTGGGGCCCTCCGGCTGCCTTTGTTCCCTAGGCTTGCCGTGCGTGGAAGCTGAGACGCCCCGTGATCCCTCTCTGGACTTTGTCCTTGAAGTTGGGGGGTGGCAGTCCTTCCCAGGAGCCACGGTCCTCTGCTGGTGGATTAGAGGGGTGCGGGATCTTGGAGAGCCCTTTGCCACTTCGCGGCTGCGCACTTCCAAACGCCTCCGGTTGCTGTGGCAACCAGGGCAGTTGAGGTGTGTCCGCAGGGCTGGGAGGCGCCCAACCCACCCCCCTTTTCTCGCAGCCCTCCGGGCCAGGCCGGGCCGCTGCGGTGCGCGGGGGTGGGGGTGTGCCGTTACCATGGCAAGGGTGCGCTAGGAGGGCAAATTCTTCCCCAGGGTGGGAGCGCCCCGGGGATACGAGAAGGGGGGTGATGGGGGCGGCAGAAAGGGGAGGCGAGAGGGTCAGAACGAGGGAGGAGTCTCGGACAAGGCGCTCCAGGGCTTCTGGTGTTGGGATAGGGAGTTTGGAATCTGCCCCCGCCACCCCTAGATCTCCGGAGATGTCCCGGTCCTCCCCCCTCACTCTCGCTGGGGTTCAAGCCCCTAAATCCCGTTTCTGGGGAAGGGATCCGAACTACCGACCCCGAAGGTCTTTGGGCTTCCTCCGAGGTCTGGTTCGCCGAGCTAAGTGTCCATCCCCTCCCCCCGCAAGCGAAGCTGCATCCCAGACTGCGACCTGAAGCCCTGCAATTAAGCCCCTCGCCCTCCCCTGCGCCGCCCGCGGGTCCTCCGCCAGGCAGGGCCTGCACCGCCAATTACAGCATGCGCGCAGCAGCTGATTACACCGGAGTCCAGGAAGCGGCCGGGGTGGGGACCTCAGCAGGTCCAGGCGGCGGAGTCCCTGGGGTAGTCCCCGGCCAGGGGTCCTTCACTGGAGCTTCGGGCTGCGGCCCTCTAGCCCAAAGTCTCCGCTCCAGACAATACGGGGAGGAGGGTCTACTCGGTGCTCAGTCCTGCGCTGCCTCAGTTCCTCCCTCCTCGAATGCACACTGCACCCAGGGCAGAAAGAGCGCAGGGAGGATGTGTGTGTGTGTGTACGCAAGAGTTCAAAGCCCTAAAGGCCGTGTCTCTTTCCCGCCGCAGACGGTCGCGTCTGTCTCTTCTGGCCCAATGTCCCGCCCGGTGGACCCGGCTCTGTCGTGCTGAGCTAGCCCCAGGGCGGCTGACAGCCGGTATCGCACTTTTCTGGGAATCGGAAAACGGCGCCCCCGCTGGGCAAGAGGCTCCCGCACTTCTACCCCACAATGCAAGGCAGTCCGGGAGCCTGCGGGGCAGCGACGTGGGGTATTCTGCCACCACCTTTGCCCCCTGCCATCCCTTCTTCCCTCTCCCCTCGCCCACCGGTCTGCAGTGGCTAGGGTAGAGCTCAAGTCTCCCGTGGTCCAGCTTCCCACATCTTGCCGGCAGCTGGGACCCGCCCACTTCGAACTGCTGTGGACCCAGCGCCCTCTGTTGGTGCGGAGCCGCGGCGCACCAGCTTTCCGGCCTGGATCTCCAGCTGCCGCCGCCGGTCTGGGGTATCGCTCCAGTTCCAAGGATTTGGGGTTCCACCCATTTGGCGCCCCTTGCCGTTGGGTACACCCCACCCTCTGCCTCACGTCGCTCCCAAATCCGACTTTTTAGGCCCTTTGCTCTTCGCCGGCCGCGGCCTCTCTGACTCTCTTTCCTCGGTCTTTGCGTGCTCAAAACCTTGTCCGGCGACCTAGCTGTCCCCCAACCTCCCATCCTCTCTAGTCGTCGAGGCTTCGAGGGCAAGTACTGAGGTG